CCCCATTTATGGGATTAATTTAGGTCAATGAAACGTATACCATTCTAAATACTCGAAAATTAGAAAATCAGGCCAAATATTTGAATTAATTCGAATTAGGAGGAATAATATATATATATATATATATGTGCGTGTGTATGTGTGTGTATGTGACCTCGACGCCATCACCTCAGTTCAAATTAACACGTAGTGAGTAAAATTCTCAAAAGGAATAGTTTAAAAAAAAAAATTCATATATTGCTATAATTTTCAAAAATTTTGCTTAAATATGTTATATGGAAAGATTATCAAACAAGTAGTTGAATTAATTATTTAAAAATGAATGATTTAAAAAATTTTGCATTAAAAATTCTGGACACTTTATGGTCATTTGTCCATAATAACATTTTTTCTCGTAGCAATTCTCTGTGATACATTATCAGAATATCTCTTGTCACAAATTTTTTTTTTAATTTACGTTTAAAAAGAAAAAGAAAAAAAAATGATTTCCAAATATACATGATCCTGTTGAAATTCTTTGAACATCAAAAAAATATCAGAAGTGATAACCTCAAATTGTTTACTTATCTGATATTTGCATGAAGTTTATTTATTCTAAAAGAATTTTTTATTTCTTTATGCTGTAAAAGTTTATTTGAAAAATAATTATTTAATTTTAGAGTTTTTAGATTTTGCATATTTATAAAATAAAATATATTTGTGTTGCAATAACCACTTTCGTTTATAAATTATCTTTAGTGGAGATATTATTAGATTGAATATCGATGTGGATTTAAATATGATATCAGTGATTTTATCAATTATAGAATGTAATTGTAATGTATCACAAAATGAAAATAATGCTTGATATATCTAATCTTTCCCAAACGATAAACATTAATTCATAAAAGCTATAATCAATATTTACATACTGATAAGCTCTTTCAGGTGCTTTTTTTATCACTTATGCAATTGCATAGATGCCTGAGCGAAAAAAAAAAAAAAAAAAAAAAAAGCACGCTTTATATAATGATTGCAATAGGTACGATGATGCATTCATTCGTTTTTGAGTGAAAAAATTACGTAAACAAAATAATTTTTTATTGCATAACTTTTCTTCTCTCTCTCTCTCTCTCTTTCTCTTTCTCTTCCTCACCCTCTCTCTCTCTCTTTTTCAATTGATATTAATAGATATGAATAAAAGATTCCATTCTAAAATGGTATAAAATAGAAAATGGAAAATGAAAAGTGTAAAAAAAAAAGATATTTGAATATTTTAATTTAATTGTAAATTTAATCCTTTCACAATACTTTTATATATCATATAGAATATGAAAGAAAATGATAAATGTCATTTATAGGTCAATAATTCGGAAATCATTTACAATGTGGTCAACACAAACAATCATTAATTCAATGCCATCCGTAAAGTTACAATTTGAGGAAGCTACATATGAGGATGATGCTGATATTGTCATCTTATGGGCAGAAGGTGATCATGGTGATGCATATAAATTTGATGGTACCGGTAATCATACCAATATTTTAGCTCATACATTTTATCCAACATATCAGGAAGATGGTCATTTGAATGGTGACATACATCTTGGTTAGTATTTCAATATATATATATATATTTTTTTTTCTTTTAAAATAAATACTTTTAATGAATTATCATTATTCTATTCGAAGATTTTTTTTTTTGTCAAAAGATATTTTAGAATTTTTATAAAAAAAAAAAAGAAATGTTTGCAATCTTTGCTAACAATTTCAGATTCTTAATTTTTAATAAAAATTGAGTAGAAATTTTCATCCAAAAATTATATGCAAATTATTTATTATGATCTTACTGAAGATATAATTATTGGATTTTATTTCGTCATTTATAAGATGAATAAAGGTGGCAGTTGATCCGTGTTATGATCCAATTTTTATTGCCATTAAATTATTTATTAAATTTTAAAGAATTTTGAATTATTCTAGTAAATTGTTTAAATTATTTTAAAATGCGGTAATTTTGCTAAGAACGAGAAATGTACACAGTTAGCAATAGGATGCTATCGATCTTGCTATATAAAATGTTTATATGGATCATCTCAGAGCCAATGCAAACATAAATATATACTAGGAGATTTATAGGACAGTAGAAAACAACAATTTTATTTGCATAATTTACTTATACTACTATAAAATTCGTAAACAGGGAGCATATCGTAGAATATGAATTTAAAATTTTGAAATTCAATTGTCATAAAATTATTTATTTAAAAAAAAAAAAAAAGAAAGAAGAACATTTTAATCCAGTTTTCTAGCTTTCTTCTCATTTTCTAATTAAATAATTTGATTAAAAATTATAATTTTAGTTATTCCTTTTATGCCATCAATTATTTCATATTCATTTCAAATTCTTTATTATTCTTTTAAAGTAAAATAAAAAAGAAAGAAGAACTTACATTATTATGATTTTTCAGATGTAAGAATTGTAATCTATTCAAATGAATATATTCCTCTTTCAAATGATGAGTTATTCACAAATTGATGATACTTTAATAATCTGAAATATTTAGGAAAAGAATAAAACAAACATATGATTGCAGATGATGCGGAAAAATGGATCAGTGATAATAGAGGTGATGGTACCTCATTCCCTAATGTATTTATTCATGAAATTGGCCATTCATTAGGATTAGGTCATAGTAAACGGGCAGATGCTATTATGTATCCAATTTACAAGAAGGATATGATTGATAATGCATCATTTGATTTAGACGACAAATGCGCGCTAAATTGGAACTACAGTAAGTTAGTGATTTGAGTTAATAGATGAAAAAATAGTGTTTTGGGGAAGGCAAAAAATTTCATTTAATATTCACCTGAATAATTTCCGCCAATTTTGATTATTGTAAGAAAATCTGCTAGCTAAATTTGTCTTAATTAGCATAAATTGTCTTAAATAAGGCTAGTTTTGAGTTTTTCTAAAATTAATTCACCTTTTTTGAGTGTAATTATATTGTTACATTCATATTATTAAATTTGCTTATTAAAATCTTAGAAATTTTGAAATTATCATTATGAAAAAATGTTGTTATTGTATGATCCAAATTATACTTTCAAAAATTTGAAATAAATATTTCAGTTGGTCCTACTAATTTATGCTTATTTGTATGGTTAATGTCTGAGGTATTACCAAGACAAATTGAACATAAAATGAATGATTATACTTCAGGAGTGGATTTTAATAGTAAGTTTAGCATCTTATTCATTTTTTTGGCTAAATTATTATAGTGGAATGACCTGTTTATTATCATATCAATTATCTAATGATAAGATATTTTCTAGTTATTCAAAGACTAACTGGTGATGGTGATTCTCATTCTAAAATAACCACTCTCAAAGAGCAATTACAAGGTAAATTTGTCATTATTTTTTTTTTTTTTTTACTTCTTAATGAACTTTTTGATATAATTTATCGCATTTAATTAATACGTAATATTAACAGATAGCAATATTGATCGATTTTAAATTAATTTAAAAAGTTAGCAATCATATAGATCATTAAATTCTTCTTTTATTTAATTCTCTTCGTTGAAATTTTCTACCATATTTTATTCGTTTTTCTTTTTTTTTCCATTTTTCATTTTATATTTCCAAATCCTTTCTCATTATTCTTTCTTCTCGAATAATCTCATTACGAATTATATCACCCTAACCTTTCTTGTATCTTTACTCATCTATCGTTGAAAATTTCACAGCTACTGAAAGCGGTATGTCATTTGACAATCTGAGCAAACTATCGGGTCCACCCTGGGTATTGAATGGTCTAGATAATCAAGCCATAAATTCTTTTCTTTTTTTTTTTTTTTTTTCTATTCTA